TGCGCTGGGCCCGCATGCGGCGTTTTTGATGCGCGCAATGATCTCTCTTGAGTTGTCGAGTGTTAGCAGGAAGACCTTGTTGTATGCCCCTTCTGCCAGTTTGACGATACGCGTAACAGAGTCCGCATGCCCAGCAGAGACAGCGATGCTCTTGAGAGCGTCAACGTTGAACCTGGTGTACCTGGCAGCTAGTTGGGCTTCCTCGTTGTGTATCCACCGCCCCGAGGTGTACCGGTAGAAGTGTTCATATTCACTTGAGGTGGAGGACGCGCGAGACAAGATTGATAATCTCCTGCACGGGTCATACCCAGCAGCACGACTCCTGAAGTACACAAGCCGCAGCATTCCCTGAGTTGAAGTTCAACGTTCAACAGTGCTAGCTTGAAGCCCGAGGAGCGATAGCTTTGTAACGAGACGCTAAGCAAGCAGAGGTGATAATCGTAGCCTCACACGGGCTGATAAAATAATTTAGAAGAGGCTAATCTGGTAGTTATCTTCAAGCTGAATGGGTTCAGGTGTCTGTGTCCCACGTCTTCCGTGGGTCCCATTGGCAGTGCGACGCCGCCTCCGTCTAGCGGGAATTGTCTTGAACCAAGGATTGTACTCCCACACAGTGACTTTCTAAAAAGATACGCGGGTTGAGCTTGTATGAGGACGTGTGCTAGGAGTGATATGAACACGAGGCGGTTGGCATTTTGTGGCAACTATTCAATGATACTCCAAACATACACTTCTCGACATCCGATCATCTCGGCATCCAATTTAGAACCGCTCTGCGTCCCGGTCCGAACGTTGTCTGCAGGCCGCCACGATCAACCTGCAGACCAATCTCCAGACCCGCACGACGCGCAATTCCCTTCCTTGGGCGGGAAGGATTGCTTCTTAGTGTTCGCTGTAAGTCTGCAGGCCTCCTTTCTTTGTCAGCGCCAGCCTGCAGACCAAACATACGTACGATTGTTTCACCGTGTTCTATTATCGCAGAATATTCATGCGAAGATCTCGGACAGAACTCTACTTGGTTGATAGCAAAGTGACTCAGTTTCGAACGGGACCTGTATATATAGCCGCACGCCTTGCAACCTCGAACACTTCATACTAGACCAAGGGCCTTACTAGAGTTCACACGAGATGGCTACATTCGCGAAAGCTTCCTTCAATGCGTCCCTCTACGCTGCCTGGCGTCCGACTTATCCGAGGCAGCTATTCGAATACATCTTCAAGTATCACTCTAACAAGTTAGAAGGCCGTCCCAGTCCGCGCTGGGACACTGCCGTCGACCTCGGATGCGGCACAGGTGTGGGCTAGAATTCGTTATGATATGTTGCGCATAGCTTTGACCTCTCTGCTTTGGCGCACAGGCCAAGCAACCCTCGAACTAACCCAGTATAAGCGCGTCGTCGGCGTAGACACCAGTGCGCCCTTGCTCGACAAAGCCCGCGCAGTGACGACCGAGTCCCTCGGCGCTGACGCTGCCAAACTATTCGAGTACTTTCAGTCGCCAGCCGAGAGCCTGCCGTTCCTCGAGGACGGCAGCGTCGACCTCATCGTATCAGGTACGTGTCAGCCGGCAGCCCCCTTCGAATGCCCAGAATATTCTCAGTAGGATTGCGACAACTTGTACTCTAAAACAACAAAAAACCAAACAGCGCAAGCCGCGCACTGGCTGGACTGGGGAAAGATGTGGCCCGAGGCTGCAAGGGTTATGCGCCCCGGAGGGAGCATGGCGTTCTGGGTACTTAAACCAACAAAGTTACCTCGGATTCATCTCTTAACTATCTGTTTTGCATGTACAGATATACTCCGAGTTCCGGCTGGCCAAGTACCCCGACGTGACGCCGCTCATCACGGACTACGCACAGGGCACCGACCCAGTGAATTCGGTTGGGCCCTACTGGGAGCAGCCCGGGCGCAACAGGCTCGTCAACCACCTCCTGGACATCCCGCCCGCGACCGAGGCCATGCCCGATAAGTTCTACGATTGGCAGCGGGTCTTCTTCACAGGCGCGTCCCGTCCCCTCCGCTCCTCTGTGTATAATATACTAATTATGAATTCGAAACACAGGCAACCACTACCCGCACCTCCCCTCGCCGCTCCCTGTCATCCTGCGCAAGACAATGACCTGGCAGAACCTGCAGGAGTACCTCCGCACGTGGTCCTCGCTGCACACATACCACGAGAAGTTCCCGGAGGACCG